TATTCTATTCTATTCTATTCTATTCTATTCTATTCTATTCTATTCTAATCCGAGACGCAAGAAAACATTGCTGTCAGGCCATTTTTTTCAGGCCGGTTTTGAAAGAAAGGACAGCCGTACACATGGAGACTGCTGGAGCCTCACCGTCTTCTCTCTTTGAAATGACTTATTAATAGATGTTTATGAAGAACGAAGATCCGTCCTAAGGAAAGAGCTGGGCGTGGATTGCAAACCACGTAAACTTTGTTAATGCATTGCAACGACAGGATGCGGTGGCTCGGTGGCTAAGACGCTGAGCTTGTCGATCAGAAAGGTCGGCAGTTCGGCGGTTCGAATCCCTAGCGTCGCGTAACGGAGTGAGCTCCCGTTCCTTGTCCCAACTTCTGCCAACCTAGCAGTTCGAAAGCATATAAAAAAATGCAAGTAGAAAAATAGGGACCCCTTTGGTGGGAAGGGAACAGTGTTCCTCCGTGCGCCTTAGGTGTTTAGTCATGCCGGCCACGTGACCACGGAGACGACTTCGAACAGCACTGGCTCTTCGGCTTTGTAACGGAGATGGGCACCGCCCCCTAGAGCGGAAACAACTAACACATATGTGCAAAGTGAAGCTTTACCTTTGCCTACAATGAAAAGAAGGCGGGAGAAGCAGCAACGGATGGAAACTAATCAAGGAGAGAAACAACCCAGAACTAAGGATGAACTTCCTAACAGTGAGGACAGTGAACCAGTGGAACAGCTTGCCTCCAGAAGTTGTGGCTGTTTCATCACTGGAGGCTTTTAAGAAGAGACAACCATTTGTCTGAAATGGCATAGGATTTCTTGCTTGAGCAAGGAGCTGGACTAGAAGACCTCCGAGGTCCCTTCCAACTCTGTTATTCCATGATCCAAAGGTGCTTTTGGCAAGAGGCAGCTGGACTTTCTGGGTTTTCTTTGAAGACGTTTTGCTTCTCATCCAAGAAGCTTCTTCAGCTCTGAGCGGGTGTCCTTCCATTCCGTACCATCCAGTCAGAGCTGAAGAAGCAGCTTCTTGGATGAGAAGCGAAACGTCTTCGAAGGAAAACGAGAAAGCCCAGGCGCCTCTTGAAAAAGCCCCTTTGGGACAACCATGACCTGGAGGGCTGAGAATCTCCACCTGTTATTCCGTGTTCTTCTAAAATAAACACCTGCACGAAAGGTCCAGAATTCCGCTCCTCCTTTGCTTGCTGTTTCAACATTCAGAGGAGCTCCTGCTTGTGTGTGTTTCAGTCACGTGCCACCCAGGCAGATGGTTTGGCTTGAAATAAATGGAATGTAGAAGAATTTGGGAAACGGAAGGGAGGCCAGCCCAAGATGCCTGGAGGGGGGGGGGGAAACAAAACACCCCTCTTTGGAACTTCCTTGTGTACTGACCGTATGGAACAAGATGGGGGTTTGTTCAACCATGGCTTGCTTGCCATGAAGTGCTGAGGCTTTGATTTCTCCAGATGTTCACGGAACCACCATTTCATGGCTCCTCCTTCGCTTGTTCTCCTTGCTGGTTTTCTACAGTCCTGCAGAATACAGGATGAACTTACGTCTTTTGGAAGCAAACCACTTCATGCGCGAAGGCAATGTGTAGACTTAAGCTTAAAATGCACAGGACCTTCTCATTACTTATTTATCCCCTCGTTCCTTTATTCGAGTTTAATAGCCACCCAGGTTCAAAGGACTTTTATTATAAATTGCAACAACTACATTATTTATGGTTGCCGATAGGCATGCCATGTAATTATGGGAGTCTTGGGTTCAGACTGATGAAGATTGGCTGTGAAGCTTTCAAGACCACTGACTGAGTCAGGAAATCATGCTAAAACCATGATTTGTCCAACAAAGATTGAACGATTAATGATTAAACCATAAGTAGCTATTTCACGCCGAGAGGCTCAAAGGACTGTCAGCTTGTGGCGGGATGGGCGGGAAATAAATGTCATATATCAATATGTACTTATCCATGTAGTATGGCTGCAGTATTATCATTTATCCTTCTTCTTATCTTCTTTACTCCTCCTTTTATTGCTATGATGATGAGGAGGAGGATTACCCTGTTGCTTTGCATGTACCCTGAGAGCTTCTGCACACAAATTCCGTGTGTGTCTCATCACACTTGGCTTTTTTTTTCTTTTCTTTTTATGATTTGGTATTCCCTTTTTATCGGGGTGGAGTCCGGGCAACTGAAGGGAGCTGAGCGTTTGCTGGCTGGATGCCCTTCCTGATCCCTATGAGGAGTTCACAGCAGATATTTTTCTCTTTGTGCCCTGATAGAGAAATACCTGTTGCTGCCTAGGATTGAACTCATATTTATGATGGTTGCAGTGCCCCAGAGTCATTGGGATCCCCCTTTGGTGACCTTCTGACAAACAAAGGAAGCCAGATTCACTTAACAACCACGTTACTAATTTAAAAACTGCAGTGCTTCACAACAAATGTGATGAGAAACATTGTAAAATGGAGCAAAACTCACTTAACAAAACTCTCACCCAGCGACATAAATGTTGGGCTCAATTGTGGTTGTTAAATTGAGGACTGCCTGTATTCAGTTCAATCAATTAATTAAAAACTAAATAAAATAACGACTGGATTTGTGTTACATGAAAAGGAAAATCAAATCGCAGTATAGTTCTGCATGAAGAATGACCCCCCCCACAATTAGCAACAGAACTGCAAAGGGGAACGGGTGTTCGACTCTCTTGAAGTTTTGGAGGAAAAGAAGTATATGGCAAATAAATCGTATTTCAAGCTTATTTATTTTATTTCTATTTCATGTTTCTAGATTGCCAGTCTCCCCCAAGGAGTTTTTCATGCAATACCTTGAGTCTTTGGCATCTTTCTTTGGAGAATCATCTGGACACGGTTCTGAACATGTCTCTTCCTTGGTTTCTTTCCGGAATTCTCCAGAAGGCTTAGCTCCTCACTTAGCTCAGTCAACGGGGAAGGGATTCTTTCCATCAGGTTCCATTTCTCCTGTCTTCATGGAAGATTGACCTCTGGGTTTCAGGCTCTGCCTTGTTGTTCTGACATTCAGCTGACTGGTTCTGTTGGGTTGCTGCAGGTTTTGGCTTCTTTTGTTTGGTTCAGTGGCCGGCGACTGAGACATCTGTTTTCGAAAGTTTCGGAGCTGTTGCAGTAGAGAACATTTCCCAGTGCAATTTTTGCTAGGAGAGAGAAGGAGAGAGAGAGAGAGTGTGAGTGAGTGAGTGAGAGTGAGAGAGAGAGACAGGGAGACAGAGACAGAGAGACACACACAGAGAGACAGAGAGACACACAGATACAGAGACAGAAAGAGACAGAGAGAGAGAGAGACAGAAAGAAACAGAGTGTGAGAGTGAGAGTGAAAGAGAGAGTGAGTGTGTGTGTGTGTGTGTGAGAGAGAGAGAGAGAGAGAGAGAAAGAGGGAGAGAGAGAGAGAGAGTGTTTTGGTTCATGTAGCCTGTTGGATTGACGCGTTCAACAATATCCCTCCCAGCGATGTGGTTTAGTTTGCACATCACACTAAACTATAGCCTGTAACTTAGATAACTCTTTACAAGGGCAAGTAAAAGTTTTGATTAAGCCAACTGCAAATTTTTTGGCTGGGCTCACAAACTGCACTCAGTTTGTAAAGCTCATCGCAGTTTGTTAAACAAGTCTTTCGGGCCTAACTCACAAAACATACTAAGCCTTCAATCAAGGTTACATTTAATAGCAAATTGGCAACCAGGAAAAATGTAGCAACAGTTGTGGAGTGTGCGTGCGTGTGTGTGTGTGTGTGTGTAAAGTCAAAGGACAGGTAGTCCTCGATTTACAACCACAGTTGAACCAAAGCTTCTGTTGTTAAGCAAGACAGTTTCGTTAAGGGAGTTGTGCCCCATTTTACAAGTTTTTTTTTGTCCCGGTTGTTAAACGAATCACTGCAGTTATTAAGTGCATAATGGGGTCATTAAGCAAGTCCAGCTTCCCCCCATTGATTTTCCTTGTCAGGAGCCAGCTGAGAAAGTTACGAAGCCAAAGAGGCGCTAGTGGTTAGAATGCAGCATTGCAGGCTACGCTCTACCCTTTGCCAGCAGTTCGATCCTGACTGGCTCAAGGTTGACTCCGCCTTCCATCCTTCTGAGGTGGGTAAAATGAGGACCCAGATTGTTGGGGGCAAGAGGCTGTCTCTGTAAATGGCTTAGAGAGGGCTGTGAAGCACCATGAAGCGGTATATAAGTCTTCAAAAGGTGGTCACATGACCCCCAAGTCAGTGTAACTGTCTTAAAATACATATTGGTTGCTGAACAGCCGAATTTTGTTCATGTGACCATAGGGATGCTGCAACGGGTTGTAAGTATGAAAACCAGTCATAGGTAACTTTTTTTTTAGTGCTGTAGTAACTTCGAGTCACTAAGCAAATGATTGTAAGTCGAGGACTATCTGTATCTGTTGAGTACTGAACCGACTAGTTTCCCGTACGATTGCAGAATGGGATGTGTCGCTGTGGCAGCAGCTCATTTATGTCACAAACACAAGGACCACTGCTCACCTGTACCGTGATGCTGAAGAAAACTCATCCAGCCTCCGTTCTTCTTCGTTTTGGGTTGTCCCGTTCATATCTTCCTCATCATCATCAGAGGAGCTGTCGCTCAAGCTGGGAGGGAAAAAAAAAAACCGAGAGGGAAATCTCGCTGCTCTGTATCAACTACCGATGGCCACCCGGCAGAAGAACAGCTGTGGACCTGGTAGGAGTAATCCTCGAGAAAGCTATGTTGCGCATCAAGGGAACTTCTGCTCTCAAGTACAGAGTAAATAATCCATTTCTCAAGAGGTTTCATCAGAACGGAGCTCGGTAAAAAGCAGCTATTTTCAGAATTCAAAGGCGGCTGCGTTTTAGTCTTATCTCAAAGAATCTACCCCATAGTTCGGATTTATTTATTTTTTTAACTGTTTCACGTTATCTGACAAGGAGCCTCTGGAAGACGGTCACAGTAGACAAACTTGCTTTCACGTTGCGTTTTTTTAAGTTTCCCGAAAAGAAAAGAGGAAATTGTAGCCCATATTAGCAATAGCAATAGCACTTAGACTTATATACCGCTTTACGTGTTTCACAGCCCTCTCTAAGCAGTTTACAGAGTCAGCCTCTTGCCCCCAACAATCTGGGTCCTCATTTTACCCACCTTGGAAGGAGGGAAGGCTGAGTCAACCTTGAGCCTGGTGGAATTTGAATTGCCAAGTTGCAGGCAACTGGCTGCAGCAGAAATAGTAAACGCTCTAAACCAGGGGTGTCCAACCTTGGCAACTTTAAGACTTGTGGACTTCAACTCCCAGAATTCCTCAGCCAGCTTTGCTGGCTGAGGAATTCTGGGAGTTGAAGTCCACAAGTCTTAAAGTTG